ATTTTTGGGACAAAAGAGTCACTTTTGTAGTAAAATGTGGGACTTTGAGTCAGAATTACCTCTTTGGGGACAAAAAGGTCTTTTTTGGACTAAAATGGGGAAATCTGGGGTAATTTTGGGATACAAGTGAGGAATTTGTGGTCAAAATGGCCAAATTTGGGACTAAAATGGAGAAATTTGGGGTGAAATGTTCCCTTTTTGGCCTGACAAGGGAAATTTTGGCATTAAAATAGGCGATCTGGGGACATTTTGGGGTCCAAATCCTCCTCTCCCCCCCACTGACTCCTCCTCCTCCGGCCTAGCCAAGCAGCCAATAGGATCACCAGAAGCGTCAAGGCTACTCCCACCACTCCGCCGATGACCAATGGGGGGAACTCGAACTCAGCTGGGGACGAGAAACCACCTCAAAAAAAAAAAAAAAGCTGGGTCAGCAAATACCCCAAAACCCCCAAAACTGACCCAAAATAAACCCTGGATCATCAAATACCCTGAAAACCCCCAAACCACCCCCCAAAATCTCAGGGTTATCAAATACCCCAAAATTCCAAAAATTACCCCAACATAAACCACCCCAAGGTCAGTGAATAACAAAAATCCCCAAAATCACCCCAAAAAACCCTGAGTCAACAAATACCCCCAAATCCAAAAACCACCCCCAAAAAGAGTGCTAGGGTCAGCCAATGCCCCAAAACCCCAAAAACCGCCCCAAAATATCCCCAGGGTCAGCAAATACCCAAAAAAACCGCTGTGGACATCAAATAACCCAAAAGTTCTAAAAATCACCCAAAAAACCACTTGGGTCAGCAAATACCCCCCCAAAAAAACAAAATTCACCACAAAAACAACCTCACGGTCATCAAATACCCCAAAAACCCTAAAACTCACCCCAAAAACAAACCCACAGTCATCAAATACTCCAAAAACCACCCCAAAAAAACCCAGGGGTCAGCAAATATCCCAAAAACCCAAAAAATCACCTGAAAAAAGGACCCCGTGCTTAACTAGGTGTGATCAGTTGGTGGGTGTGGTCATTGGGGTGGGCATGACCACTTTGTGTGTCTGGTCAATTGAGGATGGGTGTGGTAAGTAGGGAGGGTGGGTGTGGTCAGAAGGATAGGTGTGGTCATTGGGGTGGGTGTGGCTATTTTTGGGAGTGGCCATTGGGGTGGTGGAAGCCATTTTGATGGTTGTGTTCATTGCTTGTGGTCATTGGAGTGGGTATGGCCTTTTGGGGGTGTGGTCAACCCTGTAGGTGTGGCTTTTTTTGCATGTGATCATAGGAGTGTGTGTGGCAAATTTGATAGGCGTGGTCAATAGGGGGCAGTAAATAAGTGGGTGTGGCCAATGGGCAGGGTGTGGACATTGCACTGGGTGTGCCCTTTTGGGGTAAGGTCATTGAGGTGGGTGTTGCCATTTAAGGTTGTGGTCATTTGGTCGGGTGTGGCCATTGTGATACACGGGGCAATTTTGGGGATGTGATCATTGCTGTGGGTGTGGATATTTTGATAGGTATTGTAAATTGTAGTGAGGATGATGACTGGGCCTGGCCATTTAGGGGTGTAGTCATTGGGGTGGGTGTGGCCATCCTTGGGTGTGGTTACCACAGAGGGTGCAGCCATTTTTGGGTCTGGTCATGGGAGAGGCTGCAGACACGTTAATGGCTGTGGTCAATTTGAGAGTGGCCATTGGGGTGGGTGTGGCCATTTTGCGGTGTGGTAAACGGGGTGAGTGGAGCCATTTAAGTGTGGAGTCATAGGGGTGGGTGTGGTCTATTGAGGTGCTGTCTTAGGGTAGCTGTGGACATTGGGGGTGAGGTAAATAGGGAGTCGTCATTGGGGTACGATTAGGTATTTTTTCCGGAGAGGTCGTTGGGGTGGTGAGACCCATTTTGATAGGTGTGGCCATGGCTTGTGATCATTGGAGTGGGTTTGGCCTATGGGGGTGTGGTCAAAATAATGGGTGTGGCCTTTTTGGGTATCATAATTGAAGTGGGTGAGGCCAATTTGATCGGCATGGTCCATTGGGTGTGGTCAATAGCTAGGTGTGGCCAATGGGTGGGGGTGGCCATTTTGGGGATGTGGTTGTGGAGGTGGGTGTGGCTATTTTGATAGGTGTGTCCAATTTCAGTTAGGCAAATGACTGGTGTGGCCCTTTGGGGGTGTGCTCATTGGTGTGGTCATGGCAGTTTTGGGAGTGGTCATTCGTGTGGCAATTGGGGTGTGGCTATTTTGATAGCCGTGGTCAACTGGGGTGTGGTCAATGGGCGGGCGTGGTCACTGATGAGTGGTCATAGGTGCGTGGTCGCTTAGGTGGGGGTGGACAAACGGCTGGGTGTGGTCATTGTAGTTGGCGTGGCCAATCAGCCAGGACTGACCATTTCTGTGGCGGGGGCCAACCCCAATAAATACCAATATGTCCCCTTTCCATCCACTTTTTCCCCAAATCCCCCATCTCCCCCCCAAAACCCCTCACCTACCCATGACCACCACGGCCACGCCTTCACTGGGCGGAGCCTCCACCCAGGCCCCGCCCACCTCCTCCTCCAGCAGGCAGCTGAAATTCCCGGAAAATTCGGGGGAAATCCGCGGGAACACCAGCTGGGACCCATCACCAGTGACGTCACTGATGACGCCATCGATGAGGTCACCCGGAGTCAGCTCGATGCCATCGCGGAAGAAGCGGAAGCGGCGCCGGAAGTGACGTCGGCTCGCAGAACAGGTCAGGCGCAGCCGCTGACCCACGGTGACCACGCCAGACGGAGGCTCCACCCAAAGCACGGGGGGCGGACACGGGTCTGGGAAAAAATTGGGGGAAAATCAGTGTTATCGGTGACTTTAAAATTCGGATGGGAAAAGGGAGAAAATGGCGCGAAATTAGATTTTTGGGAGAAAAAAAGGCCTAAAACTCAATTTTTTTGGGTGGGAATGGAGAAGATGGAGAAGAACCACACAGTTTTTCCCAAAACCCTGATTTTTATTGGTTATAGGAAGTCCCACCATGGCCGTGTTTGGATAGGGCTTGGATTGGGTCAAAAAGCCCAAAAAGGGCCCAAAATTCAGTATTTTGGAGGTGGGAATGGGAAAATGAAGACAATGGAAAAGATGGAGAAAAACCACCCAGAAAAACCCGCTCAGTTTTTCCCCAAGCACTGATTTTACCCAAAACTCTGATTTTTCTTTGATGGAAGAGGTCCCACCATGGCCCTGGTTGGGTTGGGTGAAAAAAGGCTAAAAATGGTCCAAAAGGTCAAGTTTTTAGAGGTGGGAATCGAGAAGATGAAGAAGAACCTCCCAGATTTTCCCAGAATTCTGAGTTTTGATGACTTTAGGAATTTGGGGACCCCCTGGATGGTCCTGGAGGCGCCGCCAAACAGGGGGAGATTCTGGGGTTGGGACTGGGTCAAAAAGCCTAAAAGTGGCTCCTGATAATTTCAATATTTTGGAAAAAATGGGAAAAAAAAGGAAATTGTCAATTTTGGATATTCAGGCGGAGATTTGGGATCATGATGTGACCAAACTCAACCACACCAAACCAAACCCAACCACGACCCAGCCACGACCCAACCATGACTAAACCCAATACAACCAAGGTCCAACCAAACCCAACCATATCAAACCAAACCAAACCAAACCAAACCCAACCCAACTCAACCTTGACCCAACCCAACCAAACCCAACAAAACTAAACCCAACCTTGACCCAACCAAACCCAATCCAACCCAACCCAACCTTGACCGAACCTTGACCCAACCAAACTCAACCAACCTTCCTTCTCCTCACCTTGCTATCTCCTCACCTTTCCCCACAGCCCTCCCCATACCCAAACCCTGCCAATTTCCCCTCAAAATCACCTTCCACCACCACTGCCACGGCCTCGCTGGGGTAGGAGGCAATCCAGCGCCCCTCGGTCATCTCCTCATAGCTGCAGCTGAAGTTCCCGGTCTGGTTCTGGCTGCTCCTCTCCACCCTCAGCCGGGCGCTTCCAGAACCTTCCACGATGCCCTCGGAGACCTCAAGCTCATCCCGGAGGAAGCGGAAGTGGCGCCGAGGGGCTTTGCTGGGTGGGGCCATGCAGAGGAAGAGGAGGGGCTGCCCTTGCACCGTGAGGCCCGAGGGTGTCACCGTCAGGTTGGGTTGGGTTGGGCGGTCTGGTGGGAGGGGAATTGTCAGAGGTCAAGGTTGGAGGTCAAAAGGGGAGGGATTTTGGGGTAAAAATGGTGCTGTTGGGTCAAAAGGGGATTTTTGGTGAATGGGGGTGGATTTTGGGGGTGAAAATGGTCAAATTTGGTGGAGAAGTCAAGGTTTGACCTCACTGGGGATGAATTTTGGGATAAAATTTCACCGTTGCATCTAAAGGCAATGTTTTGGTCAATGGGATGGATTTAGAGGTAAAAATGGCCCAAATTGGCTGGAAAAGTCAATGTTGGGTGGAAAACTCACGGTTGGACCACAACAAGGATAGATTATGGGATCAAAATGCCC